GAATGCCTCCAGAAAGGAAGGCTAAGCAACTGTTCCTTGGAAATCCGACCGACAAAAGGCCCAGGGGATGGCCAAGATTAACCCGATGCAAACAAATGGAGGGAGTCTGTTCCAGACTGCGTTTGTCTTTTGCCGAAGCTTAGGCTGACGCACAGGTTCGGGAACGTTGGAAGGAAAGCGCTGTCTTATGTGTCTGCCTCCGCGACCCGAAAGGAGAATGGGCGATGGAAGATGAAGAAGAAGATGAATATGCAACTAACCTTAATGGAAACTGCTTAGATGACCACAAAAAGTTTTCTGGGGGAGAATATCTGCTACTATTGAAAAGCGTTAGAGACACTTGTAAAAGTGATTGCTTTACTTTTTCACCATATTTTAAAAGAAATGAACTGCATATTCTAATGAATGAATTATATAATTGTTTTCTATAAATAAAAAATGCAGAATTATATTTTATTTTCATCTGACCTTTGTGTTGTATGCGAAGTGAATCAGCCTGTATCGGAGAATGTTTCGTGACATGGGTAACAACGCAGCATTCCTTTATTGCACTTTTATCGCGGCTTCATCATACATTTGTCACCTGCCGGTGGTATACGATGATCGGTATCGTACACGGGCCTACTCAGTAACTGAGTGCATTCTGTGGTTGTGCGCATGCCAGCGTGCGGTTGGTAATGTGTGCTTCGCAGATGGACTTGCAGCGTACCGTAGAGGTGCTAAAGCAACAGCTTTTGCGCGGCGAGACCGATAAGGTATGGCTGAATAACTCAGATGACGCTTTTAATTTGGACTTTCAGAAGCGGATCACGCTGAAGAAGTTGGAAGACCTAAAAATTTCCGTCCATATTTTACTGGTTAGCCGATTTCATGTGTAACCGAATTAATTTTTTAAATAGCAACCTTGTTCTTAAGCGTAGGTTTCTCTGAGGACTATATAACGCTTTGTCCGTAGGCAATTTTCTATGCATCCCTGTGAACAGACCGAACGCATTCGCTAAATAGTGATGTTGACGTGAACTGTGCATGGAAACGGCCACTAAAATGGCGTACGAGGCTTGTTTTTCGTTACGCATGTCGGCGTTGCTCAAAGTAACTTATGACTATCGTACATTGTGAGATATGCGTTGACGACTACGCTAGTATTTGCAGCTCTGACCTTTGGAAAATCCGTTGTTCGCTTAGTGGTCTGTAGAGTTGTTTTTAAATCGGGTGTAATTTAACATTAAGTTTCGGCCTGTCGTTACGCCTAAAATCTGTTGCGGAATATATTGCTAGACTGAGTTATCGCTGCAGATTGATGCCTCTAGTTGTTAACCCAAGGTAAAACGTTATGACGGCCATCGGGAATATCCATCTGTGATTGAAAGGTTGACAGCCAGTTTCTGCTGTTTTTCAGATTTGACATAAAACTAGGTGTATAAGATTAGAAAAGACCTTACCGCGATGTCTCGCCGTTAAACAAATCGGATTAATATTTCGGTCACGGCTGTTATCGGTTAAAATTTTGTCAATGCGTACAAAGTTTGCCTCTTCTTCGATGAGTGCTTACCATGTACTGTATGGGTTACCAGTTTGCACACCCATAATTCACAAATACTGACACTCGAGCTGCCTGCAAATGAAGAAGGCGACGACGAAAGGTTTTTCCGGGTTTGCGGCTATCAGTAGATGATGATAAAAAATGAGTAATTTAGCATTTGCGAAGAACTGAATTGTTTCATATTTGCCGTTGGCTAAATTTTCCGCATTTATAATTTTTCAGGGCCGTCAAATGTAGCGTTCATTTCTGTTGACTCAGCCGTTACGACCGATATCGGTATTGGTGTTTTCCTGACTACGTCACGTAGACAGCATTCGAAACTGCTACGAATGAAATTAAAAGTTTTGACAATTTTGAGATGTATTTATTGTTTCCGCTTATCCGAATTTCATTTAGGAACATAATCACTCTTTTTGTTTATGATTAAGTATTTTTCTTTCTTCCAAAGTTCTTGCATGCCAAGCATTTTCTGAAGAATTCTACGAACATTATATTTACCCATTATGGCGAACTTTTTCTGCGTCCTGCGGCGGACAATTTCATATGGTTTGTTCTCCTAAAACCACTATCCTTCGGGGTCTATTTAGTAAACAGCGGCTCACGTTAATTTAAATCCACCCTAGCATGTTCGGACTGTGCGAAGACAATCCAGCATATCCCTGTGGTCATTATTCCATCAGATCGTTCGTTAAGCGCATCAACCACTGCGAATTTGTCAACTAAAGATGGAGTCCCAGCGTTCCTTGCGCTGGTGAGGAGTTCAACTTTTAAAACTGAAATTTGTAAACGATGTAGATAAACGAGTAGTAGCCGCAACAAAGAAAATAAGAGGCAATGGTTTTTACCTGCCCCAAAGCCAGATATTGTCTTTATAATTGAGACAATTTTTGCCTGTGACTGATCGAAAGAATATCACCTTATAAGTTCTGTGAAAAATTAGCACTGCTGTTTGTCATTGAAGCTTAAGAGATACTGCCAACCAACATTTTTTTTGAAAAGCAGTCCAAAAAGAACTGCAGAATTGAAGAAAACAGTTTACATGAGTTTACTTTATTTTAGGTGTTACTTATTTTTTTAGTTTTTACTGCTACAGCTGCAGTGCCAAACGTTTTGGTATTTTTGCACATTTGATAATGGACAAATAGGACAGTTAGACAATATAATTTTCGAACGTATTTCATAATGAGTAATATTAAAGTAATATTTGATAGTTTCTGGGATAATGAACTATTAGTTATTACAAATATCTTACGCAAAGTTCTCGTGGTTCTGGCCGAGGTTGAAAGTTGAGTTAATTTAGGACATTCTAAAAATAGCGTCGGCAAAGTTTAATGGAACGGGAATATCCAATACGGATACCTGCTTGATTTGGGCAGAATCTTATGTCAGCTGTGTGCATTTGCCTTTCCAGGATAATCTAGGAGAAAAGTCTCTCGGTAGTTGACAGCAGGATACATGGGACATCCGGTACCAACTAAATACAGGAACAATTACTTCGCATTTTCATTCTACAGGGAAATATTTTCAGATCTGTTTTATAAAAAAGGGACTTTGTGAATTTCTACCATTCTCATTCCTCGATTTTTAACTAACTCCGAAGGAATCCGATATTCCCTACAGACTTTCAATTTGAAGTGTATTATGACTTTTGGATTTCTTGTTTTGTGGGAGGGGGGATTTGAACTAGCCACTTTTGTTGACACAGTTAACGGCCGAAATGAAAAATCTGAGGGACAGCTTTGAAGCAGCTGCTTGAAATGTTCAGCTCGTCCTTTTG